CTGTGTCTGCCGGCAGTTTTTGCAGCAGTATGGATGGCAGATCTGAAACGACTGCTCAGATGGACCAGTTTGATGTGTCGGTTCTGCTCTGGTGTGGTCACTCAAGGGCGACTGGACCTTGAACAGTCTTCTGTCCTGCCGGTCTGCTGAAACCTGCTCTGCAGTCAGGACACAGTGGAGCCGCTTACTCCATAGTGACTGGCAATGCTGGCACATGACACGCCTGCCTGCAGCATGCTAATGGCCATCTCCCTTGCTTCTGGTGACATCTGAGGCATTATGGAATGCACAGAAAACTGACTAAGTGTGGCCTTTTTCTTGCAGTGACCTAAGCTTTGAATTAAGGCCTTTTAAAAGGTGATGTGATCAGGCATTGTTCCACCTGGACCTTGTTGGGTAAAAGTGCACCTAATGAGCTTTTGTGTGATTGGCAAGTTGCAGTGCCTCACTGCACAAGCTGTATTGCTGGTCAGAGGGCTTAAAACCAATTGACAGCTTTTTGTGAAAGTACATAAACTATAACTATAGTATTCTCATTCCAGAAAATGTTGTGTTTCTTTTTTCCAACAGTATATTTTCAGAGCATTGTATACTACAAAGAAAACACACCATATTTTGACCACAGTTTCCTAATACAGCAGTTCTTTCATTCCTGCTGTCCAAACTCTATCTTGATTGTCATCTCTAAAAAGACTAGATTTATATCAGCATTTCCACTAGTAGGTTCTCTGACAAATTGATTAAGAAAACAGTCACTAGAAAAAAAATATATATATAATTTTAACTGCTGACATTCCTATTAGATTTTCCCAATCTATGTGAGGAAATCTAAAATCTTCCATGGGAACTGCTTTACAGACGAATCTCATATTTTTTCATTTGGCACTTAATTATAATTTTGTTGTTTATACTATGCTTCTTCGTCTCCTGACTGTCTTGTCATTATGGAGTGCTGCGTATCCACTGACACTGACATTGCATACACTCATATTGAATTTGTGAATTCATTGTAAGAAGAAGCTAACACAAAGTGAGTTATGAGCAAATCTCCACTGGTGAACATGTATATTTTCTCATATCTTACCTGACCTCTCTCTTCCACTACACAAAATATAATAAAATAGATTTTTCTGGAATGTAGTCGATTTGAGATAGAATGACTCATAAAATACATATTTTTCAAACTTTCATTGTAGGTTGCCTGATAGAATAAATACACACCTGTGTTTTTGTAAACATCTTTTTACAGTTACAGAATAAGTTTTGCCCACCCATGAGCTGTTGGAGTATGTATTTTGTCAGCTTGCCTCTTGTCTTACAAAGTACATAATGTCTCTTGTCTTGACCTGTACACTTTTGTGTAGACTGTGGGGAAGTAAGATTTTGTTGATGCAATTTGTTTCTTATCTTCTGAAGAGTCTTCAATTCTGCAGTTTGAGGACACTGAGTGTGAAGGTGGTGGAAGCGCGCCCTGTGTGTCAGTGTTCTCCCTAGACACAGAGAAAGTTCTGGTAAGAATCTTCTTTTTTTCTACTTCATTGTGGTATTTTTTATTTCCACAGAATGTCACTGGTAATTTTAAACATAAAAGAACATTGCTTAATTTTTTTTTAGCAGTAGGTCTAGAAACTTGTTGTAGTTCCAAGTAATGTGATGAACAGAATGAACTCGGATCAAAAGCAGGTCTCTCTGTCCCAGGAATTTGCTTTCATCCCCCCAGAGGATAGCCAAATCATGGCACATTCTATTTAAGTTTTGAACACATGCATATTTTTATTTAATCTTGTTATTTTGTTTGAGAGATCAGTTTTTAGTCTTGAAATTCAGTTGTTTACAGATTAGCCTCAGTCTTATTATATGAAGTATTATTGTATGGAACCAACCTGTGATGTCATTTCTGTGTGATATTAAAAAGACGTCTTTCAGTACTAGAGTACTTTGTGCTTGATCTTTTGGCCTCTGATGAAAATAACATGCTCAGTCCTTTCTTTGTTACATGCACCCTTCTCTGTTGTGAGCTTCACCTTTAAATTTATCTGAAATAACACCAGTTTTTTCCCTGTTTTTGTAGAGCCAGGCAAAGTTGCTCATTGAGCAAAAGAGATTTCCTTTTGCAGTTGAGAACCAGAGTACAAATGAAGAGCTTGGTATGTTAAAGTAAATACAATTTACTTACAATTACACTTAGTTAAATGAAAAATAATCTCCAGAGTGTGGGGATGCAAATCTCGAGTGCCATAAACTGCAGAAAACTTCACCAAGAAAAATTCAGAGGCTGTGCTGCAAGGTGTAAGCCCCTAATCAGCAGCAAGAACAGAAGAGCTTGATTTGAACTTGCAAAAAAATACTGAGATGAGCCACAGGATTTCTAGAACAAGGTTTTAGGGACAAATTAGACCAAAATAAACATCTATCAAGGTGATAGAATGGCTGTTTCTGTTTTTCTCCACAATTTAGCCTATGACCTTAAGCATGCCAGTTCTTCAGTAGAGCATGGTGGAGGGTGTATCATAGCTTGAGCATGCATGGCTGCTTCTGGAACAGGTTCAATGTTTTTTTATTGATGACTTAACTTGACTTAAGGATGGCAGCAGTAGGATGAATTCAGGGCTATACAAACAGAAAAAATGGTACCAGACTTATTGGGTGGCAATTCATTATGCAGCAGGACAATGAGCTGAAACATACTGTATGCTTAACATAGGAGTTCATCAGACAGAAAAAGTGGATCATTTTAAATTGATCAAGTCAGTCATCACATCTGAATCCAATTGAGCATGCGTTTCATTTGTTCAAAAGGAGACTGAGGCACAAAGTCCAAGAGTTAAAGCCTGGCAAAGCATCTCAAGTGAGATGCATTTATTGCAAGCAAGGGATTTGCAACAAAATACTTACATTCTCACTTCTGAATTTGCTTTAGGTTAAGTGTCCCAATACCTTTGGTCACCTACAGTAAATGTTGGGGGACAGAACACAACATATGCTTTAGTTGAAAAATGATTAAGCGTGTTTGCAAAATAGATCCTGAAAATAAAAGGTGACGTTCTGAACTCTGACTCAGAATAATTTGTTTTATATGAATCTCATTTTCTTGTGTGTACAACAGGAAAATGTCAGTTTTAGGTTTTTGTCCCAATACTGTTGGGAGTACACTGTAAAAAAGCCATAAGAAAGGTTGCAAACGTGAAAGAGCCATTTTGCCGTTCTTGGTCATTTGGTGTTTGAGTAGTAAAATTTGTCAAGTTGCTTTCACGTTGCTTCTTGAATGAGCTCAGAGTTGGGGCCTCACTCACCTGTGAGGAAATCCTGTTTCACACATCCACAACTTTCTGTGTAAAGACGTGTTTCCAGTTCTCTGTCCTACATGAAGTCCCTTTTAGTTTTCATTGTGACTCCATGTCCTTGTTTCATTAACTGATTCTAAAGAAGTCCCTTGGGTTGATCCTAAATTTACACATTAGCATTTTATATACTTTGATTAAATTACCCCTCCTTTGTTCTTGATTGAAGAAGCTTTGCTCTTTTAACCTTTGTGTAAATGACAATCCTCAAAAGCCAGAATCATTCTTGCTCTCTCTACGGCTATACTATCCTTTCTGTGGTATGGTAGAGGACAAAAGAGTGTACAAAATCATTGTAAAGCTTGAATATACTGTATATGTACACTATTATTTTTGCTTTCTTCATTGGTTCTTTTTATTGTCTCGACAAGGATGTAGTAAAGCATGAGTCACCCGTGCAATGTGTGTAGTTTTCCTCTTTCTTGTGGGATCACTTTACAATTACTAATGTTGAATTTCATTTCCTGTGTCTGCCCCTTGTATGGTTTTTGTGTTTTTGTAAGTTTCTGTTTGCTTTTGATTGTCACTCCTTTTTTTTTGTGCCATCTCTAAACTTAATTAGTTAACTCTGCCAGAATCTAAATTATTAATGTTGATCAGGAAGAGACAAAGGTCTGACACAACCTTGTGGGAAAACTGTTTATGTTTGAAGTCACCAGCTGAAAGATTAGGGTTCTCTAGAAGAAGAGTGAGACTGCCTTGATAATTATAGGAACAAGTAATAGGTTTATTCCATGCTGAAAAAAAGAAGAAAGAGAACACAATGTTTCGGCCGTGGAGCCTTCTTCAGCACACCTGAAGAAGGCTCCATGGCCGAAACGTTGTGTTCTCTTTCTTCTTTTTTTCAGCATGGAATAAACCTATTACTTGTTCCTTTGCAGCCTACGCATGCTGACGCAGCTACCCACCTGAACTTGATAATTATAGTATGCTTATGCAATATAATTGCATAAGCATACTTTTTGTACAGTAGAATATTTGTACTGACCAAGGTAACTGGGATAAGGGCATCAACAGACTATAATGTTCTTCTTGTTACTTGTTACTATAAAATAGACAATAAGAGACAATGGCGACAGAATTCTCATGACTCTCTTTGTGGCCACATTCTCTATGAATGATTGATTACCTGAACAGTTTAACCTAACCAGTTCTACACTGTAAAGTTAATCATTACAAGAGAACCAGTTAAGCCTACTTGTGACTGACATTGACATAACCGGTTGTGTTGCTTCTGTTTTTCATTTTCAGCAGTAGGATATGTGTTCATTGGAAATGGTCTTTATGATGAAGCCATCAAGCATTTCTCCTTACTCTTACAGGTACGCCTCTTAACTTGAGATAAGATCTACCGCTCTAGCAATTTGGTGTTGTTAGGTTTTGCCTTGTACAGAGTTTTGCTTTATGTGCCCTGTGTTGGAGTGGAATCCCATCCACTGAATAGTTCTGCCCAGCGCTTCTGGGATAGACTCTAGCTTTCTGCAGCCCTTAGTAAGGATAATCAGATAATAATGGGTGGGTGTCTTGCTTTGTTTGTTTTACTCATCCATTTATGTATTGACATAATCTCTGAGTAACAAACTCTTTACTGTTAAACTCTGGACCACTTACCTTGTTATCTTTGTTGGGTATCCTACAACCTTTGGAAACGAGAACTTTAATAATATTATTCTGTCAGAGGGTTTGTGAATTCTGTTCAAGATGATGAAGCTGTTTTTTTATTAGTGTTCTTATAAATCTTTTCTTTTCTCACGAGTAGGGGGATCCTGAATTAGTCAGTGCTATCTATGGAAGAGGAATTGCATATGGGAAGAAAGGTCTGCAAGTAAGTTTTTTTTTTTGTACAAATTGGATTAAAAAAAAAGATGTAGTGATTTCAGTTCTGAAGCGGTAAGGTGTATTTTCAAACTGGACATGGCCTGGTCTGTCCATTGTTATTTGCTAGTACATAGACAAGCATCTGTCTTTATATTCAATTCAAAATAATGAAAAGGCTTTTCTTTAATAACCAAAATGTGCAAGATTAAGTGGCCTTCAGTCTCCACCTGACTGTTGTGGGACTGAGTTTGTGAAGTGCAGCATTCGAATCCATTTCACAGTTGACATGCCAACACACTTTGAGAATGTTGAAAACTAAATAATTTGGTCAGCAGCAGAGTAAAACTGTTTGTACTGATCAAAGAGAAAGGATTTTGATTCAGTGCTGCTCACCGGCCTACAAACAGCAGCTAACCAAAGTCAGGTCTACTTTCCATGAAGTACTGTATATTTTATGGATCACCAGATCACAGATTTTTTTTTTAATGTGTAAACAAATGTTTGGTGATTGAAAAATGTATTTAATGATTGTGAATGCAAAGAATGGATTTAAAAAAAGATCTCTGAATTTCACAGGAAGAAAACAACGCTCCATTGGAAATTTTTGTTTCCCTCTATTATGAAAAATAATGAAAAAATGCATTACTAATGTGCTGTACAACTCATTTGTTGCTGTTTTGGCTTTAAAATAAATTCTTCAATTATTTACACTCCAGAGAAGACAAGTGATTCTACAACAATTTCATGCATGTGGAATTCATGGGGGTGTGAAACAACAAATGAACCTTTACTTATTAAAAAAAAGGCTCTTTATCCTTACATTAAAGGCAGGAGTAATTTTTATTCTAATCCAAATATTGCATATGAGAAAAAAAAGCATTTGCTTAAGCAAACAACAGGCCAAAATCAATTTCATTTAATTTCAAAATAATTTTGTTTATTTTTGAATGGCTGTGTGGATTTATGATGTTGTGTTCTGATCTGTGCATTCCTGGAATGTCTTGTACGCGGAGTGGAGAAAGTGATCACGGGTAAAGGTGTTATCTTTTTCATTGTAATTTCTTGGAGGAGTAACTGCACATTACTTCTCATTTGCACAGGACATCAAAAATGCAGACCTAGCACTGTATGAGCTGAGCCGAGTGATTACTCTGGAGCCCAACCGACCAGAGGTGTATGAGCAACGTGCAGAGGTGACAATACCATGCTACTGCTTTCGTTATTACTAAGTTATTGGAGACTTTTGTAATATCAGTGTTGACAGCAGTCATGTCTGGTAGATATTTCCTATTGTGGATCTCTTTATAATAAACACCCTAAGTATTTGTTTTTTTTTCCTATGTAATCTGAATATTATCACAACATATGGCTTCTGCTTGACATGGACACTTTTATGTGTCTATCACTCTGGTAAAACATTTCTAACAAATGTGGCACCCATAATAAAAGCTGATGTTTTAACAAAATGTTCATTCATCTTTAGCTATCCTCTGTTTAATTTTAAGTCTATTTCTTATAGGTGCATTTATACCTTTTTAAAGGTAGTTTAAAACAGAAGTGAAAGAACTTGTATATTTATAGATCCTGTCTCCACTGGGGCGTATCAGTGAGGCCTTAAGTGATCTCTCCAAAGCCATACAGCTGTATCCTTCAGCTCGTCTGTACCGACACAGGGGAACACTTCACTTCATTTCTGAGGTGAGTTCTTCAGTGCATCTTATATAAAAGTGTTGTGATGCCACATCTCAGTCAGTCGTGTTATATGCATATGACTGCTGTACATTGGATTGTATCAAGTTAACAAAATTCAATAATAAAGGAAAACATCAAGTCAGTGATCATGTGAGGTGATCAGACTAAATTTATTAGAAAGTACAAAAAGTCACCTAAAATGTATTGTAAAACCATTGTTGTAATTCTGTTCAAACAAGACGTCTGGATAATGCATCAAAAAGTGCATGCATTGAGACTTATGAATATTCATCAGTGCTTTACCATACCTGTTCAAAATGTAAATTCCTGTTATACAGTAGGTCACCTGTGCAAAAAGTTTCATCATCAAGCTATTCGCTTTAAGTCATCCAAACTTCTGTCCACCCATGGGCTTAAGTAAGCATCGGTATTAAAAATCTTTTCAAATTATAAATACCTCTGCATCAGTGCCTTGTTGCATGACTCCCAGAAACTGATTGCCTTCTTTTTTCATACAATATGTCATTATATTGTCATATTTCTTTTCCACTTTTAAATCCAGTGATAGAATGGATGTTTTGGGAGACACATTTCCTTTGAGTTAGTTCTTCCAGTTTTCCTTTACTGTTCTGTAAATGCAGGCCCTGGATATTGGTTCAGTGAAAGTACTTTTGGACAGTGCAGAGGCTGGAAATGTTAGGGGACCAGTGGTCACTCTGTTTCAGAGCTTTAGCAGCACCATTGCCATTTACAGCACATCTAATAGACTGGCATAGTATTTAATGGAGGCTCCGATCAATTGCAAATAATAAACAATATCTGGAACTGAAATCAGCTTCTTTTTTATCTTATCTTGCAAATTGCTCAGCTTTTTTGAGAGGTCTTCTTGTACTGCATTAACTGCATTGCTGACGTCAGAGAAAATTCCCATTCTGGAAAAGCCACTGGAAGAGTGTTTTCCCTGTCCTGTTTGTTACAATGTAGGACTATGCAGCAGCGCAGGAAGATTTCCAGCAATCTCTGGAGCTGAAGAAGAACCAGCCCATTGCTGTGCTGTACAAAGGCTTGACCTTCTTCCACAGGGGGATGCTCAAGGTAAATGTCATCATTTGTGGGAAGAGACAATTGATTTACGCTGCTGTGTAAATAGACAGTTATAATATATAGTATGTGTGTTATGAGTATTAACAGTATTCTCTGCATCTACTAACATTTTCTATTATAGCAACTTCTAGTAATACAGCCTAGTGTGAGTGAGAAGAAGACTAACTTGTTTAGCACCCTTTAATTCACATTGTAATTTGAGATGTATACAACAGAAGATCCATCACATCACAATTAGGTTGAAATCTAATTGACTCAAAATCAGAGTCCAAGTCATATGTATAATTTGTTTCTCTCTATATAACCATGGAACTACTGTAAAAGGCTTCTTTTTATTCTACAAAATGCACAGGATAACTGTAAAACAAAATACTACTAATTTAGTAGATAATTAACTTAAATACAGTATATTTCTGTATAGAGAAGGAAAACCATTGAGTGAAAAGATTAAAGCAGTGCAAAATGTTTAAGCCTTTTGCTCAACAGTGAATCTAAAAGAGTGTTTCTGTAAGTAACGATAACAGCTATACCATTATAATTCAGGTGGGTAGCTGCGTCAGCATGCGTAGGCTGCAAAGGAACAAGTAATAGGTTTATTCCATGCTGAAAAAAACCTGAAGAAGGCTCCATCTGAAGAAGGCTCCACGGCCGAAACGTTGTGTTCTCTTTCTTCTTTTTTGCAGCATGGAATAAACCTATTACTTGTTCCTTTGCATACCATTATAATGCACTTCTTAGGCCTCATTATTATGAGATTGAGCTACAGTATTTGTGTTGTTTTTTTATAAAGATTGACTGCATATGACCCGAGCAAACAAATAGTGCTCTCATGCCAACTTCATTTATATGTTAGTGCTGCTTCACTGATATAAGGTTTAAAATGTTTTTTTTTAAATAACATTTCTTCATAATGTTATGAAGTAAAAAAAAATGAAGAACACAGTTTCAGTGAAATGTGTTTAAAATACAGTAATAAAAAAATACATTAATTTGTAGGGTATACTGTAATTTCAGTGTTTTTATTTTATCGGCATTCATCTTCACAAGAATTATATTTTTGCATACATCCAAAATACACTGTAAAATAACCACCATTTAAAACAATGTTGCCCAAGAACACTGCCAGGTAATAATTAGCAGTTTGTTAAATAATATTTTATGAATCCTAAAATTAAAGCTGCTTCGCATCTGTAATGATGCATCTTTGTAGCATATAAAATAGGTTTAGGGAGTTTTTTTAACAAAAGTTCAAATTCTTTTATTTGCCAGCCTTAATGCACCTTAGCTGCCATATTAGTTTTACAAAATAAAGAATATATTTTAAATTGCTAAGAAGTGACGTTATAAAAATTTTAAAAGTGAAAAAATCAAGATCATAGTATTTTAAGGTGACATTTTGTGTGAAGTAAAAATCTGTCAAAAACAAACAAGCAAGTTTGCAGGGTAATTTGCAACATTACCAGAACAGCTTTAATCAGAGACACCAAACTCTATATTCAAGTCTAAGTCCAGAAAAATATATCCATGAACTAAAACTTATGGTTCTTTTTTTTAAAATTGTTTTTTACAAAAATTTACATCAATTTACTTAAAAGTAGCACATACTAGTTACTTTTTAAAAATGTTCATCACAGTTTTATTTCCCCACACATGGCACCTTGCCTAATGCCATGCCTTTTCTGAAAGTGTTCTGCCTGGGAGTTAGGTTTCTCTGCCTGGGCTCACAGTACCAGAGACTGGGATGTTACTACAAAAACCAAGTGATCTAAATATTCAAGAGCTCCCTGGTTTATATGCGGATGTCCCCTAGCACAACTGGCAACCCACTGAAGCTAAGTAGGTGTGAACTTGGTCAGTACCTGGATGTAGACCTCTTGGAAAAAACTAAAGTTGCTGCTGGAAGAGGTGTTAGTGGGGCCAGCAGGGGGCGCTCACCCTGCGGTCTATGTGGGTTCTAATGCCCCAGTATAGTGACAGGGACCCTATACTGTAAACAGGCGCTGTCCTTTAGATGAGACATAAAAACCAAGGTCCCAACTCTCTGTGGTCATTAAAAGTCCCAGGGCGTTTCTCGAGAAGAGTAGGGGTGTAACTGGTGTCCTGGCCAAATTTCCCATTGGTCCTTACCAATCATGGTCTCCTAATAATCCCCATCTATGAATTGGCTTCATTACTCTGCTCTCCTCCCCACTTATTGCTGATGTGTGGTGAGCGTTCTAGCACCCTATGGCTGCCGTCGCATCATCCATTTGAGGCTGCACATTGGTGGTGGTGGAGGGGAGTCCCCATTGTGCTTTGAGTGGAGTGTCCAGAAAAATGCTATATAACTGTAAGCAATTATTATTATTTCTTTAGCAATATTCAGTGTTTTTGCTTATTGAAACACCATCTTATTTTAGGTGCTATTGTTCTTCAGGAGACCAGAAGCTTTGTCACAGAGTATTCTTGTTTTTTAAATTAATTTTGGGTTTGTTTATGTTTCAACTAATGATAAACAGCTGCTCTTTAGGTAATGTGTTCTGACACTCCTTCAGGCAGAGTAAACCTCACCCAAAGCAGACGCAACGCAAATTCACTGACTTTGTTGGGTGACATCATCGACTGACATTTCTCTATTGTAACATTTTCCCACAGGTAGCCAGAATCCCTTAAAATCCTAACCGTGTTATCTGACTGTTTTATAATGGGTTATAGTTAAAAAGTACAGATGATGTCCAAGTAGAGAAAATGTATTGAAAATGTTGAGGTTGGTTCTGGGACACTTAAAAACTCAACACATATAGCACAAAAGTAAGTGTTTTTGTAAGAACTGATATGGAGTTCCATTAAAATTTAAAAAAAAAATGTTTTAATATAACTGCTGTTTTACTCCATCTGATTCAAGAAAGGCAGTCTAAACTTTCTGTACCCACAGGAGGCAATTGAGACTTTCAAAGAAGCCCTTAAGTTAAAATCTGATTTTATAGATGCCTACAAAAGTCTTGGACAGGCTTACAGGTAAGATCCTTTCTGGCGCCAAGTGATCCTAAGTGCCATGTAAAGGAGAAAATGCAGTCTCCCTTAATTAGATGATTATGAATTCATCAATAAGAACCCCATCAAAATTCTCCCTAAAGTCTCCCAGTAGTTCAATGTGGACTATACACTTTGTGAATAAGAATCTATAACCCCACAGGCCTCTTTGTGAAAATGAGTTAATTTTTGTGTTTATACTCTAATCCAGTTGAGTTAAAAGGAACAGTGTTCCTTTGGTCTGATGTTAATTACATTAGGTATTTGAACATTTTGAATGCCTCCCCCCAAAAATTCAATTCTTGTAGCATGTTCACAGAATGTGCATTTCAGATATGGCTTTAAAGTGTCCTGCTCAGAAAGGTTCCTTATGTTTTTATTTAACATCCAAGTCCCACTAACTGTACTGTATACATTCATGTCATTTCTGGGCAGTGATCTTGCACACATAATTAAAATGGCTTTTTTGCAATATGTGATGATTTCTCCTATTGTTTCTATCTTCAGGGAGTTGGGTGACTTTGAAGCTGCTATGGAGAGCTTCCAAAAAGCACTAATGTTGAATCAGAATCACATCCAGTCTCTCCAGTTACGGGGCATGATGCTGTACCATCACGGCAGCCTTCAAGAAGCTATAAGGAATTTTAAGGTACTGTAATTACTTCTATGTTCCTTGTAAGGAACAAAAATCAAAGAATCACCCAAGGCTGACAAAACTGTTATGAATAAAGTGGCGGTTAGTGCCTTTTTTATCTATAAAACTGGAATAAACAGCTCATTAATCAGC